CTCTCTTCCACAAATGGTGCTGGGATAACTGGGACAGCCACATGCCAAAGAATGAACCTGGACCACTTTCTTACCAAATACAAAAATAAACTCAAAATGGATTAAAGACCTAAATGTGAGACCTGAAGCCATAAAAGTCCTACAAGAAAGCAGAGGCAATAATTTCTCTGACATCGGCCGTGGCAACATTTTTCTAGATATGTCTCTAGAGGCAAGGGAAACAAAAGCTTTCTGGGACTACATTAAAATAAAAAGTTTCTGCACAGTGGTGGAAACAATCAACAAAACTGAAAGACCTCCTACTGACTGAGATAAGATATTTGCACAGGACATATCCAATGAGGGGTTAGTACCCAAAATATATGAAGGACTTATAGAACAACACCAAAACCACAAATAATCCAACTAAAAAAATGGACAGAAGACATAAACGGACATTTCTCCAAAGAAGACATCCAGATGACCAACAGACACATGAAAAGATGCTCAACATCACGGAAATACAAATCAAAACCACAAGGAGATACCACCTCACACCTGTCAGAATGGCTAAAATCAAAAACACAAGAAACAAATGGTGAGGATGTGGAGAAAAAGGAACCCTCCTGCACTGTTGGGGGGAATGCAAACTGGTGCGGCCACTGTGGGGAGACCGTAGAAACAGAATCACCATAGGATCCAGTAATTCCACTTCTGAGTATTTACCCAAAGATTGTGAAACTCATAGACATATGCACCCCTATGCTTATTGCAGCATTATTTGTAATAGTCAAATTATGGAAGTGCTCAAGTGTGCAATGATAGATGAATGGATAAAGAAGATGGGGTGTGTATACACCCACAGACACACAATCAAATATTACTCAGCCATAATAAAGAATGAAATCTTGCCATCTGCAACGATATGGATGTAGAAGGTATAATGCTAAGTGAAATACACCTGGAGGAAGACAAATACTATACGATTTCACTCATGTGTGGAATTAAAGACACAAAACAAACAAACAAGAAACAAACGAAAAAAACACTCCTAACTCTAGAGAACAAACTGGTAGTTACCAGAGGGGAGGTGGGTGGGGGGATGGGGGAAACACGTGATGGGGATGAAGAGTACACTTATCATGATGAGCACTGAGTAACGTATGGAATTGTTGAATCACTATCTTGTACCTGTGAAACTAATAAACACCGTACATTAACTTGTACTGGAGTTTTAAAAAATAAGAAAAGATTCAGGTCTTCGTTTGCACCTGCACGGTGAAAGGGTAACAAAACAATCTCAGGGTGCCTGCGTGGCTCAGGCAGTTAAGCATTTGCCTTCAGCTCAGGTAATGATCTCAGGGTCCTGGGATCGAGTCCCGCATCAGGCTCCCTGCTCAGCAGGAGTCTGCTTCTCCCTCTGCACCCCCTCCTGCTCATGCTCTCGCTCTCTCTCTCTCACAAAAATAAATAAAAGTGTATCTCGAGGGCCATTCACACAGTCTTTCTAGAGGCTTTGCCAACTCACAGAATGTTACTTACTGATGGAGCTTGTTTGTTTGTCCCTTAAACAAGGGCTTTAAATCAATAGCTCCTATTTTTACCCATATTCTTTCCACAATCAAAAATACCGATTGCATTCCTTGTTTTTCTCAAAAAGCGTTCCTCATATGCTTTCTTTTTCCTCCAAATTTTTCTCAAACTGGCGTTTCCCCTTTGCTTATTCTATTCCTAGCTTTTCTTTTCTTTTTTTTAGAGAGACAGAGAGAGTGCACGAGCCAGGGAGGGGCACAGGGACAGGGAAAGAAAGAATCCCAAGCAGGCTCCCTGCTCAGCACAGAGCCATGATCCATGACCCTGAGATCATGACCCGAGCAGAAATCAAGAGCCGGATGCTCAACCGACTGAGCCGCCCAGGTGGCCCTATTCCTAGCTTTTTTATTTTGTCCAAGACACTGTGAGATCCTTGGGGGCCAGGTTTGCCCCTCTGGTCCCCTCACCCCACACAGCTCCCAGCGTAAGGCCTGGCAGAGTTGTGGGAGGTCACTGGTCATTATTACCAGAACCAAGTACGGTTCTATCCAAATAATGCAGTATTATTCAGCCATAAAAAGACTGAAGTTCTGACTCAAGCTACGATGTGGATGAACCCTGAAAACATGATGCTAAGTGAAAGAAGCCAAACACAAAAGGACAAGCGTTTGTCCATTTAGATGAAATGTCCAGAACAGGCAAATCCACAGAGACAGAAAGTAGATCAGTGGCTGAGGGGAAGGAGGAATGGGAAGGGGTTGAAAATAGGTATAGGGTTTGCTTTGGGAGTGATGACGATGTTCTGGAATTAGATAATTGCACAACTTTGCGAATATACTAACACTCAATGAAGTTTAAAGTAACTTTAAGAGGATGAATTTTATAGTATGTGAATTAGATCTCAATTTTTAACAAAAGCACGGGAGGGAGGCAAAGGCAACATGGGACTAGGGCCAATCTCTGCAGCTACAAGTCTGACGGACTTCACTAGGGAATGCCAACACCAGCGCTTGTGTAAACATCCAAACGCCAAGATTTTTAAGATGTTTCCTTATTGCACTATTTCCCCAAATATAAATTGACTAACCAAATGGAGTTCAAATTTCAAAGACAAAGTCTCTGTCACGCGTGAATTTCTCCAGTCCGTCAGCCTTGCTGAGGGCTTGCACTGAGGAGGAGGGAAGGGAAGGAAGCTTCGAGACAGCGGCCAGAAGCAACCCATGCCCTGTTTCTATTGGCTCTGTTTGCTTTCTCGAAAAGCTCTGTGTGAATACTCCTGACCTTCAGCGCAGACCAATGAAAGCAGGGGAGACACTGACTGGTCTTGTTCCCTGGCGGTGACTGGGGCTGGAGGCACGCTGGGATGGTCAACATTTCTAATGTTTTACTTGACTTCCAAAGATGGGCTTGACCACTTTGAAACACCAGGATGGGAATCCAGCAAAACTGAATAGATCAAGATAAAATCTTTTGGCTCATTCCCCAGGTGGTCCCATGCTAACAGCAACTCTCGGTGTTCTCTCATCCTTGACTAAGGATTTGCACCAGAGAGAAAGTCGATAAGAACATGGTCTCTGCCTTTTTGCTCTAGCCAGAAATACTGTTTTTCTTCGAGGCTTCCAATTACAATCAGACAATACTCATCTCAGAGAATCAATCTATCAATTCATCACTATATATTTTGGCCCCGAGAATAAACCAACCTGGTCATCTGAAAACAAACCCTCCTTCAATGCAGCTGAATTGAAGGAATGGAAAGAAACAACCTCTAAAGCCATTTCCAAATAGCCTCGGTGTTATCTTCCCTTCTCTCAAATTTCAACATTATTTCCGTACAAACTTGTCTGGATTGTGTGGTGTTTGTCTTTGACTTCACACGTGAGTGTGTGTGTGTGTGTGTGTGCGTGCACTTAGCTCAGACAACACGTTGGGGAAAGCAAATTTTTGGATCCAAGCTTTAGGACAGCCTAGTTATTCTGAGATACTCGTTCTGAACTGGGGGGTCACTGTGCATCCAGGGGATATTTGTTGATGTCTGGAAACAGTGCTGGTTGTCACCATCAGGATGGGTGCTCCTGGCAGTGAGTGGGCAGAGGCCACATCCTCTGCCCCGCATCCTACAGTGCCCAGGCCGTCCTCAGAACAAAGAATCCCCCAGCCCTAGATGCCAACGGTGCTGAGAATGAGAGACGCGCTCGGAAGACAGACACAGTAGATGGGGCGAGAGGTTGACGGAGGAGGCTGGTCCATCTCTGCCAGCCCCAGTGTCAGCTGAGGAAAGGTCAAGAAGCCTCTATGTCCCAGAACACACTCAAGTCGACCTTCTTCAACATTCTCTCTGGCTCTCTTTTTAAACAACCAGTGGGCGCCCATAACATTATAGCTACCAAAGGCCTTCTAAGGATCAATCTGCTTGTAGATTACAAATGATTAGGTCAGTTAAAGCTCTGCAGAACTCAGAGTGGTGATTTTCAAACTCCTCCTCATCAAAAGATACATTTGGGCTAAAACAAAGCTTTACAAGGAACCTCAACAGGGAGAAGACTGGTACATTAGCAAAAAGTCATTTTGTAAATTACAATCTGGACTGTCATCAATTAGAACGATAAGGCTGCTTTTGTCAACACAAAACTCTGAAAACCAAACACTGAGGTCTGCAAGTGACCTGCAAGTTTCCTGTGTTTTGATTTCATCGCATCTTATCCAGGAAATTGTTTCGCAGGGCTAAGGAGCTGGAAATGTACAGTTTTAAGGAGCTCATCTTCCCAGCTCTGGGTAGCCCTCGCTTAAACCGGGAGGGCAGGGGAATGTCACTGAGCTCCACGAATATGTGAGCTAACCTGTTGGACAAGTTAACAGGTTGCCGGGCCTGGGTGGGTTAGTATTTGGTCACCAACACATTTCAGTACGCACAACTCTTCCCACAGATTTTCGTGTACATCTTGGAATTGAATCATTTCCTAGATGTCTAAAGGACCACACTCGGGTTCCAGAGAACCCGGTTTGATGTCTGCAGAGCAGTTTGAAGGGCACGGCCCTACAGTCGTTAAGTGAGAAGGACAGATCCGAAGAGCCCGCCCTGGGGTGGGCTTTTCACCTGCAACGGCCCCACGTGAGCCGGGCAAACCAAACTGCACCCAGAACCACAGAGGACAGTCACACCATCCATGGCCTTGCAGCAAGGGCCTGGGAGGGGTGTGGAGTGACAATCGATGTCCTGTTCATGAAGCCATCCAGCCAAGGCAGGGACCACTTACAAGTACGCAAGGCTACCGTGCTGAGCAACTGAGCGGCAGGTGCCATTAAAATGTTAGAGAGAGAGGCGGGTGATAACATGCCAGGTTAGCATCAGTGTCGGCTGCTTTCACCCTCCACTCACAGCAGTGACGGACGCCTCTCCCACACCACGTCACCTCCTTCTTTGATACCCGACTTCCAGGCTGGCCCTGGGGCTCCTCGACGTACGTGCCTCGGCAGACAGGGCTTACCTTCAGACAGCATGCTCAGCGCCTCGTCGGAGGTGTGCCCGCCCACACACGCCACCTTCCTGCAAGTCGGATGCTCGCAGGGCACGCGGGAGCCCTCCGGGGACAGGCAGGTCCGCTCCGCAGCAGAACTCGCCACGGACTCCCACTGAATCTCCTTCCTGGGGGACTGAAACTGCAGGCTGCATCCCGTCCAGCCATAGAAGGCCAAGGACAAGAGAAATCCTTGGGCTGGATTCAGTATCCCCTGGGAGGCAGGAGGAAAGGACACGGGTCGGTCGGCGCCGCGGACTGGGAATTAGAGCATCATGTCCACTCGCGCACCCTCTGGGCCACCTCGTGTGGAAGTGAGCCGCTTGGCTGGTGTGGGGCACGACGAAGACTGGCTTGAGGCGCTGCACCTTCCAGGGTGGCTTGGCTCTCCGACAGAGAGGCGCTTTCCATCTTGTGCTCGCGAGTCAGAATTTGATTTAACGAAGGTACCCAAGGCCAAAAATGAGTCTAGAGAACATTCCTCCACTTGGTGTGGTGAGTAGCCATGAAGTGAACCAAAGGAACCAAGTGAAACTCCAAAGCAAAGGGGTGGAGGCAGGGAACGCTGGTCTTATTATAACGTCCTCATGAGTCAGATTCCCCCTGATTCTGCAGCAACATATATATCAGTTCTGCACAGGACAACCCATACGTCTCCACTAACACTTTTGTCTCTTCATTATGAATGCAATACAATGGAAACCTTGGGAGAATGTACTCAGGCGGTTTCCACCTTACTCCCATGTTGTGTATTTCTATCCAAAGTTTTTTCACACACTAACGTGTTATTCTGTAGTTGTAACCAGCCTGATTTTTATATCTTGCATTTTTCACTGAATACTAGAGATCTCATAACTGTCACATTTAACACCTGCATACTATTCCGTCGAGATGAAAAAATGTAATTTACTTAGCCATTCCCTTGTATTTCTTTAATTTGGGTTGCCTATAATGCTTTCTATTTTTTTTTTTTAAAGATCTTATTTATTTATTTGACAGAGAGAGCACAAGCAGGTGGAGTGAGGGAGAGGGAGGAGCAGGCTCCCCGCTGAGCAGGGAGCCCAATGCGGGGCTCGATCCTGGGACTCCGGGATCAGGACCCAAGCCGAAGGCAGACACTTAACTGAATGAGCCACCCAGGTGCCCGCCTATAATGCTTTCTAATGATGGATCAGGTTACAAGGAATACCTTCATCCCTATAGCTTTTTCACAGGCTGAAATATTTCTTCAAGCTAAATTCCCTGATATTTTGTTCTGAAAGGTCTGATACACTGTGCCAAACTGATTTACCAGAGTTGTGCTCATTTAATTACTGATCCCAACAATGAACAGGACTAGCGAGCTAGCAGATCAAAGCCAGATGGAGGTCCCGAGGAACCTGTTAAACTCATCCATCATACTTCTGAGCACTTCTTGTCTTTATTTTTCAAGAAAAAAAAATTTAAAACCAAGACTGACCTACCATAATAAACCACGTGGTCTTAGCCGCATTTCTGACAGGTTTCAAAGAGCTCCCGTTGACATCTGCTTGCATTTCAAGATAGAATAAAAGGCTTTCATTGATGATGTTCGGCAGCCAACTGTCAGCAAGAAAATAACCCAGGGTTATACAATTCACTTTTAAATGCTGGGGGTCAGGGAATATGTCTTCTAACACCTGCAAGTCCTGGAGGGGGATCCATATGAGCAGCAAGGAGGAACTACTGCATCCAGAATTTAAGAGATGTAACTCCTTTTCTCAAGTCTAAAGCAGAGATCAGCAAGTCTTTCCAAGGGTAACACTCAACACCACATCAGTGTTAAGGGATCTAGCAGTCTATGAAATAACCCAAAACTCATGTTTCATTTGAAGAGTAATATAACTTTTTGAGGGAGACCTCCCAAAAATCTTGCTATCTTTTGTTTAAACTTTTAATGTTATTGTTGGTAGGCCAATGAAATTTAAAACGATGAGCTGAGTGTATTTTTAGAGGGAGATAGTCTCCATCTCTCCTAGGAGAATGTCCAAACAAACCTCCTCCTATCGGATAAATTTTTTTTTAAATTTTTTTATTTATTTATTCATGAAAGTCAGAGAGAGAGAGAGAGGCAGAGGCAGAAGGAGAGAAGCAGGCTCCCCGCCTAGCAGGGAGCCCGATGCGGGACTTGATCCCAGGACCCTGGGATCATGACCTGAGCCGAAGGCAGACGTTTAACCATCTGAGCCACCCAGGCGCCCCTCGGATAAATTATTAACAGCACAAAGACACATCCTGTTTTGCAAACTATTGATTCACCCTAGCAAAAGGTTTGCTGATTTCCATCTGTTTTGCACTGGTTACAGATCCATTTTCGAAGCATCCACCTGAAACTTGGGGCCGAATGCCGGTGGTGGGGCAAACCGAGGAGCGAAAAATTGCTCTCTACACTTCTTGACTGCACCGGAGTCGTCACACCAAAAAATGTACCCTTGCCTTTGTTTCTTGTCAGATACAGGAATTCTGGGGTCCAGAATGAATAGAAACGGGTAAACTTTAAAAGCGTGGTCAAGCGCTTTATTTCGGAGTTAGCCCTAACAGCGCGAGTAAACACTGGATGCACTTTTAGGATATAACAAAACTAAACTCGGGATTTTTTGTTCCAAGGGCTTTACATATATTCTGAGCAGATGTGACTATCTTTCCAGGAGCTCATACGTCGTGGACTTGCCTTCCTGTCTCATGTGCATTTCCTCCAAGCGCCCCAGCACAGTATCAAAGATTTCCTTTCCAAAGACTCTTCCCTTTGCAACTTTTGGGTCATGCTTGGAAAAATGTGCTGATTGCATATCCCTTCCCAGGGGCAATTTAAAAAAAATATAGACGAAAGGTTACCAAATAATGAAAACCAGCATTATTTTGAAAAATCGGATCTTGATCACGGCTCCCATCCGTCTCTCGTTCTCTGTGTAAATGCCTTGTCTTCCTTTTAGTAAAGAGGCCACTGCAAAACAAAAAAAACAACAAAAAAAAAACCCAGGGGAACTGCATGTAACATTCATTATTTGCCTTTCCTGAGTGACAGGGAAGGGCGTCAATGAGGATGTCAGCCCCTAAGCAAAGGCAGCAGAGCATGAGGTCGGGCCCGATACTGCCACTCCTCCCTCCCGGCTTCCAAGCTGCGGTTCTCACACGCTCGAGGGGATGCGGAGTCTTTCAAACCTTTACTTTGTTTCCTTTTCAATTTTATTTATTTGAGAGAGAGAGTGTGAGCGAGCACAAGCAGAGAGAGAGGGAGAAGCAGACTCCCTGCTGAGCAGGGAGCCCGATGTGGGGCTCGATCCCAGGACCCTGAGATCATGACCTGAGCCACCCAAGCGCCCCTACAACTTACACTTTCAAATCACTGTAGACTTATGTCAGAGTTGCAAAGATAGCACAGAGAGTTTCTGCAGACCTATTCCCAGATTCGTTCAATGTCAACATCTTACACACCCAGGCTCACATTTGTCACAAGGAAAAGATTAGCAATAGTGCTTTACTATTAATTAAGCCCCAGATTTTATTTGGATGAGTTCAAGAACTATATTTTTTTCAAGAATAGTATTTTTAAAGGTTTATATTTTCTATCTTAAAAATGATGCGTACCTGGGGTGCCTGGGTGGCTCAGTCGGTTAAGCGTCTGCCTTCGGCTCAGGTCATGATCTCAGGGTCCTGGGATCGAGTCCCGCATTGGGCTCCCTGCTCAGCGGGAAGCCTGCTTCTCCCTCTCCTTCAGCTGCTCCCCCTGCTTGTGCTCTCTCTCCCTCTCAAATAAATAAAATCTTTAAAAAAAAAAAAATGCACACTTGCTGTTTGGGAACATTGAAAGATTAAAAATTTCTCCTTATAGACAAGTTGGAAAATATAAAAAAGCTTAGAGGAAAACGAATGAGCCATTGTCCACCCTGAGACCAGCACTGTGAACATCTTAATGCATTTCTTTCCAGTCCTTTCCATATATGTGATTTTCATTTGTTTGATGTAACTGACTCAGCACTTTTATGCAATTCTATTTAAAAAGTTACTGCATTTAATATACTGTTTTTAAAGGCAGACCTGAAAGAAAAGAGATCCAAAGAGCCACAATGATTTCCCATTCCTAGTGATAGAGTCCTTTTAATGTTTTAAAGTTCTACGATCAACAGCTGATCCTCAATCAACCTTCTGTTAAGATGCACTTGTTTTTTTCAGATTTTATTTGAGAGAGAGCACACAAGAAAACGTGCACGCACTGGGGGGAGGGGCAGAGGGAGAAGCAGACTCCCCACTGAGCAGGGAACCTGATGACGCAGGGCTGGATCCCAGGACCCCAACCTGACACAACGGTCGATCCCAGGATGCTTAACAGACTGAGCCACCCAGGCCAGGCCTGCACTTCTTCATTCCTATTCTGCACTTGAGAGATCCATGGGGCTGAAGGTTGGAGGGTGCTCCTTGTCACACTTCCTTGAGGATGCAGTGGGGACTGGAATGCCAAGTCCCCAGCCTCAGCGGAGGTCTTTCCAGGGCTTTCTGCTGGCTCACAACATCCTTCTTATCCAGTCCTTACCATTGCATTTGACTCATTTCCTGTGCTCTACTTCCTGTTTCCTGCCCAACTGAGAAAAGACAGAGGCCAAGCACATCATGGGAGCAGCCAGGCTCACCACTCTTCAGGCCAGACTCCATCCCTTCCCTCCCCCGCCCAAGCCTCCCGCTCCACAGTTTTCCAAGGGCACTCCTGGGGCCTGCAAGCCACATCAAGGGCAGACCCAGGATGAGCCCAGATGGAAACATAAAGTCCACTGGTCCTGGCCTGGAGCTATTAAACGTTGGCAAAGAACTGACGTAGCCCATCATTAAAGAGGCTTGTTCACTTCATTTATTAAACCTGCTCACTTTCTCCAAGTGTACTGTGCTTATGTCTCTGGAGGATGACAAATGAAGTCAATTGTCCTGGATGATTCCAGAAGGACAAGACACGCCATCATCTGAGCCCAAGGCATGGAGCCATACCCCATGGTCCTGCACCCAGAGAGCTTCCCTGTTATTCACCTGCAGTCACTGTCTTTTGGAACAGGATGGGATTGGCCACAAACACCAGCAGCAGCGGCAAGTATGTGGTGACATAGTGGGGAATGGCATGCTCCGGATCCCGCTCACACCTGCGGGAGGAAAACCAAGTCATTCTCGAAAACAAGGCTTTGCCTAAAATATACATACTTATCTGGAAGCCGAGATAAGAGGAGGAGAGTGAAAAGGGAAATGCATAAATCCACTTCTGAGTCTGCCCAAAGGAAATCTGACTCACAGCTCATGTCTGTGAATAAGCAATAAATCACTGAAGAATAAGGCAGATCAATCATGTTTCTACTTGTCTTGTAAATGGAAGGACCTCTAAGGCATTCCACTGGGGGACCTTTTAAAGGGCCCTGTTGAGAAAAGGAAAGATAGAAACAGACACACTGGAATGGGGGAGTCCCCGCACTGGGTCTCTTCAAGGAGAAAAAGACCCAATTCAAGTAGAGACAGAGGTGCTCAGTGAAGTAGTGAGGTTTTAAGCACTTACTCGGCACTATGCCTAGCCAGTCCCGTGAAGATCTAGTCCCTCCCCTTCAGCACCTCAGTATACCCAAACTTCTTGTTCCAAAATAAGTGTGTTTCTATGGTTATGCATAACAATCATTTCACGGGTGCTTTTCAGGGAAAAGGATGGGAAATTTTTTTAAGATTTTGAGTGCCCAGGTGGCTCAGTTGGTGAAGCGTCTGCCTTCGGCTCAGGTCATGATCCCAGGTCCTGGAATCAGGCCCCGTGTTGGGCTCCCTGCTCAGCGGGGAGCTTGCTTCTGCCTCTCCCACTCCCCCTGCTTGTGTTCCCTCTCTGGCTGTGTCTGTCAAATAAATAAATAGAATCTTTAACAAAAAAAAAAAAAAGAAAGAAAGAAAATGTGGGTTTATATGAATTGTTGGGGGGGGAAGAGTATGTTTTTGATAACACATGTATTTAAAATTTTTCATGCTGTTGAGTATTCTTTTATATTTTATAATAACGATGTTGCAAGAGTCATTGAATAGGGGTTCCTGGGTGGCTCAGTCAATTAAGCATCTGCCTTTAGCTCCGGTCATGATCTCAGGGTCCTGGGATCGAGCCCTGTGTTGGGCTCCCTGCGTGATGGGGAGCCTGCTTCTGCCTCTACCCCACCCCCCAAGAATAAAAAATATATATATATTTTTAAATTATTTATTAGAGTATGAGAGAGAGAGAGAGAGAGAGATCATCAACAGGGGGGAGGGCTTAACCAACCTGAGCCACCCAGGCATCCCCAAGGATGGGAATTTCTATTGAAGGATCATGGGAATCATGAGTCACCATGTGATGCAGTGGACTGCTACACAGGTGTGAGTTTACCAAGGTAAGAACTATCGGCTAAGAAATGCACAATGTAACAGAAAAAAGGGCAAAGAGGAAAAGAGAATCGAAGGCAAAGGGGAGAGAGGTTGCTTAAGCCAAGCAGGAGATAAAAACGCAGATGGAGGAACAGCCCCTGTGGCCACAGAAGGTGGAATGATAAAAACGCAAGCACTCTTGTTTTAATATGCATGGAGTGGTCAAATCAGAAAGGGAAAATGATAGAAAAATGCAAAAAAAGTCAGGAAGGAAAAACGCAATGCCACCTTTTCTCACCATCAGGAGGAACACAGTATCACCTTACAATGCTCCCTTCCTTTAAAAGCAGTTTTCATTTGCAGCTGTGAAGGCTCAAATGCGGTCTGGAAAGGCTTGAGGGGAGAAACAAGTGTAGGAAGAGCCATGATTCTGACAGAAAGACAAAAAGTGAGCAATGAATGAGAGGGTGAGGATGGGAGCCTGACTCAGGCCCAGGAGCGGCCTCCCAAGGACCACGGGGGCGCCTCAGAGCTCCTTGTAAGCCCTGCAGCAATGGCTCCCTCCGGCTCCCATGCAACCTTCCCAGGAGGCTCCAGGAGCCCGCAGGTAAGCTGAGTGATGACAGCTCCCTTTCCAATTAAGTGCATTCCATTGTAACAGCCACAGTCACTGTATTTGTCCTTTTAAAGTTCCTCAGGAGAGCAGCTGTATGAATGGATCTACACAGAACTTCGGGAGTATTCACCATCAACTAGGCAACACCAATCTGGAGATGTCAGAGTAGCTGCAAGAAATTAAAAAAGGAGCAGGGGAGAAATGGTCTAACCATGAGTCAGCAAACTTTTTCTGTCAGGGAACATTTACAGTTAAGTATTTTATGCTCTGTGGACCACACACACAGCCTGTCGAAACTGACACTGCAGAAGGAAAGCAGCCATAAATCATGCATAAACAGATGGGCATGACTGTGTTCCAATAAAACTTTATCTACAAAACCAAGCAGAGGGCCGGATTTGTCCTCAGGGCTGTGCTGTGTTGATCCTTGTCTACACTGCCCTAAAATCACAAAGAGACAACGTCCAACCTGTTTTTCAGCTTTCCATTGTAAGTTAGAATATACATAACTTGGAGGGACCGTGAGGCCTTACAAATGATTGCATTGATGAGATTTGTTTTTTTTTTTTAAAGATTTTATTTATCTATGTGAGAGGGAGAGGGAGAGAGAAAGAGCACGTACAAGCAGGGGGAGCAGCAGAGAGAGAGGGAGAAGCAGACTCCCCGCTGAGCAGGGAGCCCGATGTGGGACTCATCCCAGGACCTGAGCCTAAGGCCGACGCTTAACCGACTGAGCCACCCAAGCGCCCCTGCACTGATGAGATTTTAAGGTTGAAGAAGAACCTGAGACCATTTCAGATCTGTCTCTACACCTAGAGCTGCGTGCACGTCCTTACATGGGAGACACACCAAAAGCTGTGTGTGCAGAAGCACCCACCTGCACAAATGTGAAAGGCAGAGGGAGGGAAATGAGCCCAAGAGTACAAGGTATTGTAGTGAGCCCCCCCCGGGGGTCAGCTGGGTGGCTCTATGAACACTGGCATGACCTGCAAGGGGCCCGCTCTGGCTCAGTGCCCCCGCATTCTCTTCAAGAGCACACAATGGGCTGGGGAGCTGGGAGTCCCGACTTACCTGGACACAGAAGGGTAGTAGAGCAGGACCGCTCCCTCCACGCAGAGCAGGGCGGCTAGGCCCCAGGCCATGAGGTGGTAGAGCAGGATGGTGCTAGGGGAGAAGGACAGGGGGGCCTTGCCTGAGAGGAGGGATCGGGATGCCCAGCCACAGAAAGTACCAGACCCACTCCCGGGACCCAAAACAGTCAGGAAAATGTACACTGAGCAAACCCTTGGCAAAGATTTGCCTTATTATGCCTCTGAGTTTTTATTTTTTAATTGAGATGAAATTCACATAACATAAAAGGAACCATTTTCAAGTGAGCAACTCAGGAGTATTCAGTAAATTCACAATGTTGTGCAGTCACCTCCTCTATCCAGTTCGGACATCGTCATCACCCCAGAAGGAAACCCCAAATGCACCCCCCCCCCCCGTTCCTCCTGCTCCTAGCCCCCAGCAACTACCAGCTTCCTTTGTGTCTCTATGGCTTTTCCTATTCCGCACAATTTAGGCAAATGGAGTCATGCAGTATGTGGCCCTCTGTGTCTGGCTTCTTTCACAGCACGTGAGGCTTACAAGGGTGAGAGGAACAAGGAGCAGGTACCTCATCAGTCCTCCTCAGCAACCGGCTTACCCGCTAAGTGAGGAGCTCCTATCCCCAAACCTTCCCAGAGGCACCTAAAAGTCAAGGGTCTCCGTGCTCAGTCCAACCCAAGGTCTCTGAAGAAATGTGTGCGCATTTGATGTTCCAGGATAGTGGGGAGCTTCCCTTCCTCGCCCTCCTCCCCCACGCCCACCATTCGCTGCATGCTTCACATTCCTGGACCATCTCTACCCTTCATCTTCCTACGCCCACACACCTCGCCCTTTTCCCTATAGACCAGAGGTCAGCCAGCCCTGCAGCTGGGGGCTGGAAGACGGATGCACAGCTCTCTGACTGCGCCAATGCAGCCTTTAATCTGCGTCCTCTACGCCACAGGACAGGGGGCCCAGCGCTCCATCGGATGCACTAACCACAACCCAAGACTCTACCAGACTCCTGGCAAATAGTGCAACCCCCCACCCATCAGGATTTTAACTCTGAAGATCAGCTGTGTAGACAAGGGAACGGTCAGGGATCTGAGTGAAGGGATGCCCTTCTAGAAGACAGGAGGAGAGAGCCAGCACACGGGAATGAGCTTCAGGAAGAAGAAACATTTCACAGCCAGCTCTCTGGAAGGCCACAAGGAAACGACTCCAGCCTGTGTTTCCTCCCGGTTCTGGAGCGGCCCTGCCCTATCTCTCTGGGTTTGGGAGCTGGTGGGGTGGGTCTTGCCCAGAAGTCAGAGGCTCTGCATGGAACAAAGGAAAAAAGGAGCAGCCTTCTGCAAGGACTTGGGTGACTGTAGAGTGCAGACCCTCACCTTGGGCCAGAGGAATCTAGGGCCAGAGGAATGCTGAGAGGTGGGAGACAGCAGGCCAGGGGGCGAGGCCAGGCGAGGGCAGGGCTGGGGGTGGCCACAGTCCCGTCAACGGTGCTCTGGCTCCGGATGACCAAGCACAGTGGAGTCAGACTGGCCAGGCTGGTCAGGCGGCAGCCACTTTAGGAACTGATACAACCCCAAACCCACATAGGTGGTGAGCCTGAGCTCCCATGCGTGCACAACGAGGAGCAGCAGGGGACTGCAGATCCTCGTCCCTTTATCTCACCACTGGACAGTTTCCAGGTCCAGGCACGCAAGAGCCCTCCCCAGACCCCCTTTCTCTCACACTCATGTTCACGGAGCAGGTAGACTTCAATTTAGGGCCTTTCCCACAGTCTCAAGCACCTTCTGTTGTTGTTTAAAGCCTGTACATCCTGCATCGGGAGCCAACGTAGCAGTTTAAATTTTAACTCAAAATCTGTCTTAATGACATTTCTTAGAATTAGGATTTTCAAAAAGATTCTCCTGTGCCAAAGAAAATAGCTGAGGACTGGAAGGATCTAGAAGGGAACGTGGCATTTAATCCAGCCATTCCTGCAATACCTTGCCCCCTGCCTTGGAATTCCTCAGGACCCATCCCAGGGCAGCTCCAGTCTCTTAACTGCCACCTGCAGAATCACCTGCGCCCTTGGCTTTGGGAGCAAGCTGGCTCTTAGCAGGGAAGCTACAGGTGCTTCTGGACCCACACCTTCAGCTCTGGCTCCAACCACCCTGTGCTGGCCCCTAGGCGCCCTCACACCAGGAAGCATGGCTTCTGCCAGGGATGAGGTAGGGGCTGGGTCTCTAGCTCCAAACCACCTGTCTTATTTCTCTGCTGTGTTCCCTGCTGCTTTTTGTTTAAGGTTTATTTATTTGAGAGAGAGAGCGAGCACGCCCACAAGCGAGCAGTGTGGGGGGAGGAGTAGAGGGAAAGGGGGAGAGAAACCTAATCACACTCCTCACTGAGCCCAGTGCAGGGCTCGATCCCATGACCCTGAGAGCAGGACCTGAGCTGAAACCAAGAGTCGGATGCTTAACCGACTGAGCCACCCAGGTGCCCCATCCCTACTCCTTCTTGATGGGAGAGCCGACTTCACTCTCAAAGGTCTTCCTAGCGCTGGACACCTGCCCTTGCTCTTGTCCTTAGGCGGGCATCTGGATGTTTCACATCTTTGGACCTTTGCATCCTGCATGACTGGCAGGTCCTTGGAAGCTATGCTCTGCCAGCATCCTCTCATCTCTGCACGCCCTCTGCATCCTGCCTACCCTTATTCTGTGCTCCCAAATGAGTTCCAAACACTCTTCTGGGCCTGCGGAGGGCTTCCTGATTGCCTGCCCCGGCTTCCAAGGGCTCTGCCTGTCTTCTACATCCAGAAAGCGGTCGGGCTGCCCCGCCTGACCACAGCCATCCATGCGTGGGGGTGAAGCAGTGCACACCCCTGTGGCAGTAAACGGCGTACTCTGCTTCCAGCTTCCTTCTGCTACTGCAAGGCTCCTCACAGCTCCACAACTGGCTGTCTGCGAGACCTCTAGTGTGTCAGAACTCCAATCCTCCAATCCCTCCAAAACTGAGTGAGAAACCTATCAGACAGGAACACACACTTGCACTGGGCTTCCAGGTCACGGACCTCTCCTTGCAGCCAGTTGCTGGCCCAAAGCCATTTTCCCTTTTTCCTTAGTAACATAACCTGGATGTCATGCCAGATGGCAGTATGCCTGGCTAAGACTATATATACTTCCAACCTCCTCTTGCAGCTAAGTGTGGCCATGAAACCAAATTCTGGCCAATAATATGAAAGGGGAATTGTTGTGTAAAATCCCCAGGGAGGCTGCTTGAAGGGAGGTGCCTCAGGGGAAAACAGACCCTTATCCATTGCCCCCTTCCTCCTTCCTGCTGCCTGGAATGCAGATGTGATGGCTAGAGCTCCAGCAGCCATATTGGGCCATGACACCTTGAAGTTGGAAGTCACACAATAGGATGATGGAGCATGAATATAGGAGGCGCTTGGGTCCCTGATGTCCATCATAAGGGCCCTGGATTGCCTACCTCTGGCCTCTTTTAGCACGGGAGAAAAATTATCTTGTTTAAGTCACTATTATTTTATGTATTTTACATAGCCAAAGCTAATCCTCACGGATATACCTGGTTGGCTGCCTCTGACCTTCACTGCCTTCCCTAGAGAATTTTCAAAACCAAGAATACACAGGTTCTGTACAGATGTGTAAAAGTTTAGGAGTGAAAGTAAAAAGGTGGAAGAAACAAGCACAAAAGTAAACACTAAACTTCAGGGCAGAGAGACCAAAGTTAATGATGAGGACATAGGAATAGGAGAAATACCAACGATTTTTTTTTTTTTTAAAGATTTTATTTATTTACTTGACAGAGTGAGAGAGAACAAGCAGGGGGAGCAGCAGACTCCCTGCTGACTAGGGAGCCCGATGCAGGGCTCGATCCCAGGACCCCGGGATCATGACCTGAGCCAAAGGCAGATGTTTAACCGACTGAGCCACCCAGGCGCTCCTACCAACGATTTTAGGGCAAGGATCTACTAAGGTTGACCAGCATATTGTACAGCCTGAATGTGATCTTTGTTTACTGATATTGGCTTTAAAAAAGTGAATTTATTCAGGAGCTCCTGGCTGGTTCAATGGGTGGAGCATGCAACTCTTGATCTCGGGGTTGTTGAGTTCAAGCCCCACACCGGGTGTAGAGATTACTTAAAAATAAAATCTTTAGGGGGACCTGGGTGGCTCAGTTGGTTAAGCGTCTGACTTCAGCTCAGGTCATGACCACAGGGTGCTGGGATCAAGCCCCACGTCGAGCAGGGAGCCTGCTTCTCCCTCTCCCTGTCAGTCCTCCTGCTTGTTCTCTCTCAAATAAATAAATAAAATCTTTTAAGAAAAATAAAAATAAAATCTTTAAAAAACAATTTAAAAAGTGAATTTATTCAACAAATGGTGCTGGGACGACTGGACATCCACATGCAAAAGAATAAACACCCACCTTTTCCTCACCTACACACAAAAATTAATTTAAAATGGATCACTGGGGCGCCTGGGTGGCTCAATCAGTTAAGCATCCAACTCTTGGTCTGAGCTCAGGTCATGATCTCAGGGTCATGGGATCGAGCCCGACGTCAGGCTCCATGCTCAGTACGGAGTCTGTTTGAGATTCTCTCTCTCTGCTCCTCCTACCCCCAATAAAATAAATAAAATCTTAAAATATAATGGATCATAGGGGCGCCTGGGTGGCTCAGTCGTTAAGCGTCTGCCTTCAGCTCAGGTCGTGATCCAGGGTCCTGGGATCGAGCCCCGCATCGGGCTCCCTGCTCAGCGGGAAGCCTGCTTCTCCCTCTCCCACTCCCCCTGCTTGTGTTCCCTCTCTCACTGTGTCTCTTTGTCAAATAAATAAAATCTTTAAAAAAAAAAATAAATAAATATAACGGATCATAGGCCAGGGTGCCTGGCTGGCTTCGTTGGTAGAGCATGTGACTCTTGATCTTGGGGTTGTGAGTTCAAGCCCCACGCTGGGTGTGGAGATTAGTTTAAAAAGAAAATCCTTAAAATGGATCACAGACCTAAATTAAAGTGTTCAAACTCTTTTCTTTTTGGCTTGGTTCCCATGTTTTTTTCAACTCATACAAAATATTCCAGATTAATGAGTTTTAAGCCTCATCTTCCTCCACTTCCTCATCCTGGTTAATCTGGAAGTAACTCGATTTGTAAGTTTCTTTGCTATTAGCAACCATGAGCAACATAGATTATTCTTCTTCAAATATTTTTTGGTGAGTTTTCTCAAATACCTTTTGGAAAAAGGCACCTTAGGGGTACGTGGGTGGCTCAGTTGGTTAAGCATCTGACTCTTGGTTTCAGCTCAAGTCATGATCTCATGGGTCCTGTGATCACACCCCACATGGAGCCCCAAGGCCAGTTCTGAGCTCCGTGGGGAGTCTGCTTGAGATTCTCTCCCTCTGCTATTCCCCCTACTTTCATGTGCACTCTCTCAAATAAGTAAATCAATCTTTAAAATAAAATTTTTAGGGGCGCCTGGGTGGCTCAGTTGTTAAATGTCTGCTTTTGGCTCAGGTCATGATCCCAGGGACCTGGGATCGAGCCCCACATAGGGTTCCCTGCTCAGCGGGAAGCCTGCTTCTCCCTCTCCCACTCCCCCTGCTTGTGTTCCCTCTCTCACTCTCTGTCAAATAAACTCTTTAAAAAAATAATAAATGAGATAAAACCTTTAAAAAATATATTTAAGGGGCACCTGGGTGGCTCAGTCAGTAAGTGTCTGCCTTCAGCTCAGGTCATGATCCCAGGGTCCTGGAATCCAGCCCTATGTGGGGCTCCCTGCTCAGCAGGAGTCTGCTTCTCCTTCTCCCTCTGCTGCTCTCTCTTTCAAATGATCTCTCTCTGTGTCGAATAAATAAAACTTTTAAATACATATATACATACATACATACATGGACACCCACACACATATGTATATATATAAAATGTAGTACATCGGGGTGCCTGGGTGACACAGTTGGTTAGCATCTGACTCTTGCTTTCAGCTCAAGTCATGATCTTAGCATCATGAGATCGAACCCCATTGTCAGGCTCTGTGCTGAGTGTGGAGTGTGCTTGAGATTCTCCCTCTTTCTTTCTCTCTCTCCCTCTCCACCGCCCCACTCCCCTGCTCACATGCTCTCTCAAAATTAAATAAAATGTAGTACATCCTTACAATGGAATACTACTCAGAAGCGCATAGGAAGGAACTATGGATGTTGCTGCAACATGGGGAAACCTTGAACATGTCACTGTATGTTTAAGAAGCCAGACACAAAAGGTCACATGCTGAATGATTCCACTTCCAGCCAATGCCCAGAGTAGGCAAACCTAGAGACAGAAAATAGATTGGTAGTTGCCAGGGGCTGGGGGGTGGGGGTGAGGGGTGGGGGGAGGAATTAATCACTGGTAAAGAGATCTGGGGGGGTGATGACTAATGTCATAAAACTAGTTGGTGTGATGGTCGCATGATTTTGTAACTATACTAAAAAATAATGGATTTTATACACTTAAATGGGTGAAGTTTATACTACTTAAAAAAAAAAAAGGCAGAACAAGGGCTCCATCGGAAAGTGGGGGACACACGCCTCCTGGACCAGGAGTCAGGGTACCTGGGCACTCACCCCACCCTGCCATGCGGCTTCCCTTGGTCACTTAGGTTCTCTGTATTTCTGTTCCCCCAACACACACGTACATCCCAGTGGTAATCCCAGAGCACAGTTCCTGAGAGCCTACGATGTGCCGGGCACGATTCTGAACCATTTACACGCAGCATTGCATGGACTCTCCCAGACCTGAGGAGGGCGTAGTATTTCACAGCCAAGTCTAGAGAGCTGAAGCAGCTTGCTGATGGTTAAACAGCTGGTAACAAATGCATGGGGTACACCCACCGGGTCATTTCTCCCAAGGGAGCCCCCCCTGCAGCTCCAGTGCTCAGGTTCCGTATTTGGCGGAACATGTCAATTCACATTTCAAAAACTTCTCTCCTCAAACCTTTAGATCGCCAGAAATTGTCTATGTTCATGCCAATTCTTTTTTAGTATGTGTCCAAAATGCAAATATGTAATTTATGGATCACTTGTCATGGTCTAAACATCCTCATTTTGAATCTGCCCTCAGCCTTTTATAAAAACGAGTTGCCAGAGAGGTTTCTCAGAGAGGGGCTGGCTGATGTTCTGCACTTGATCTTAGCCAAAAGGCCGAGAAGCGATGGGGCTGGCTGATGTTCTGTGTCTGCCATACTGAAAAATATTTTGGAACCCTCAGTAGTACCCCTGACCCTTCCTCATATGACAGAACCTGAGCAGAAAGCTCTTCTTGTTCCCTCCGAATATACCTGTGCCCTGCCGATCTCCGGATCACCAGATAGGCGTCAACCGCATAGCAAAACAGCCACCAGAAGCAGGCGCTATACAACAGCTGGATCCACATCTGTAATCAGGAAGAGCCTGGCATCAAAGCTCCTGGAAACAGGCAGCAGATTGCCCCACCCGTGAAATGAGCTGGCAGATGCCTCTTTCCCGTGACGTCAGGAAGCAGGACATGAAAGCCGTCCGGAGACGCGCGGACGGTCTGGGAACGCAAGGGTGGGATGCGGCCCAGGGCGGGGTGTCCCTTGGTGCTCCATCTGCTCAGGGGTGGGGGGAGACTGCACTGGCCAGCCCTGCCCTCCAGTATTCTCAAAGGCATGGAAGATGAAGGCCTCAGATGTGAGGCCTAAACTGGCGTGAGGGCTCACGGCGCCTGTGAAGGAGCAGCTCTTTGCTGAGAATGAGGGAGTACGGGGCAGGAAAGTGCTTCCCAGAAGCGGGGCAGGAAGGGGCTCGGTATGTTATGGGCAGCACGAGACTGGTGTGCCTCCAGGGGTGGTCTGGGAAGCAGTGTGGGCAGAAGGGAGAGAAGCGGAGAATTGTGCTACGGCGTGGTACACAGAAGTATAGATACGTCTATTTCAATGCAGAGTTCCTCAAGCAGAATACATCCAATCAATCACTTTCTTCTTTCTTTTTCTTTCTGGCCAGCTGGTTTTAACTGCAGCTCAATCTAAGGTCATAAGGATGGTCTATGTGTGCTCAGAAGTGGGGGCAGGAAGAACCACAATACAGCAGTGGTTGGTTCTCAAACCTCAGTGGGAGTCAGGAGCCCCTGCATTTGTTACTTCGCAGACCGACCCGACCCCCCAAGGTTCCTGATCAGCAGGCTCTGAGGATTTGCATTTCTGACAAACCCCAGTGGGCTGAGACCACGCTTTGAGGACCGCAGCCTAAGAGGAGCACAGGGGGGAGAAGAGGGTGAGCAAAAGCCAGGTGTACTTACCGCACTCCCCACACAGTACGCAGCAGGCCAAATGTCTGTCCCATTCACGGCGGTGGGGTTGTCAACAAAATTTGGGAATCCTAGCCACACCGCAGACCGGAATACAATTCCTAAGAGAGAATTAGAGGATACAGTCATCCCGCGGGGGATGCATTCCAAGACCCCCAGTGGATGTGGAAACTGCAGATTGTACTGAATCTATGTTTTTTTCCCTTACGTGCGTTCCTGGGACAAAGCTTAGTTTATAAATTAGGCACAGTAAGAGATTAACAACTAATAATAAAATAGAACAGTTATAACAATAGACGGTCATGGAAGTCGTGTGAATGTGGTCTCTCTCCAAACGTGTTACTGTACTCTCCTCACCCTTCTCGTGGTGGTGTGAGAGGATAAGGTGCCTGCGTGATGAGATGATGCGGGCATCGTGATGTAACGTGAGGCTGCCAGGACCTTCGGCCCGCACCTGGGAAGGAGGAGCACCTGTTTCCGGACCACAGAGCGCTGGGGGGTGGGGGTCGGATGGGAGGGGACACAGAACCCGCAGAAAGCCAAACTGTGGCTGAGGGTGAACTACCGTGCTTTGTAAAGGTCCTAACTCACATCTAAAGCTGACTTGGTGCTCTCTAAAGTAGATGGATATAAGGATAAATACCTGAGAAGGGACAGAGAAAGAAATGAGGGAGGAAAGAAACACACACTTGGGTGTGTACAGAGAGAGAAACAAAGGAGATCCAGGGAGTAATTATTTCGGTCACAAAGCAAGCCCAGGCACTTTGATTTCAACTTAAACCATCATTAGCCACAGTCCTATCCCTAATGTGTTCTTTGTTTACTCGATATGAAGCAACTATGTGATTAAAAATCTGTATTTCTGGCTATTTTTTTTTTTTTAAGATTTTTATTTATTTATTTGAGACAGAGAGAATGAGATACAGAGAGCATGAGAGGGAGGAGGGTCAGAGGGAGAAGCAGACTCCCTGCCGAGCAGGGAGCCCGATGCGGGACTCGATCCCGGGACTCCAGGATCATGACCTGAGCCGAAGGCAGTCGCTTAACCAACTGAGCCACCCAGGCGCCCCTCTGGCTATTTTTTTAATGTCCATATTAAATATTCCTCACAGAAAAAAATGATTGAAAAAGCATGATTCTGAAATGTAAAAAGATAATTCTTTCATTCTCTGAAAAAAAAATGCATTTAAGATTTTCACGAATTAGCTCTCGGCAATTTGCTCTTGACATTTATTATTTGTAAGTTTTCTTTGCTACTAGACCCAAATTTCTAATTCTCCTCAAAACAGTATACATCCTTAAGGTACATATGAAAACTCCTTGTTAGGTAATGTGATATGCTTTGTCTAAGCGTATGCTATGTAAAACGATACTAAAGAGTAACTGTAAACAGTATAAAGTTATATACTATGTACTCATGTAAACTAATATAGTGTGTAATACACTATTAAATATACAATGCATGATACACTACTAGACGCTGTAATACACCACCAAACTGACACTGAATACTCTACTACCAAATATATACTGTATAATGCATTGCCAAATACCGGGGCACCTGGGTAACTCGGTTGAGTGTCTGCCTTCAGCTCAGGTCATGAACCCAGGGTCCTGGGATTGAGCCCCGCACTGGGCTCCCTGCTTAGCAGGGATTCTGCTTCTCCCTCTTGCTCTGCCCCTCCCCCTTGCTTGTGCTTTCTCTCAAATAAAATCTTTAAAAAAAATACACTCTAGTGTGCGATATATTACCAAATATACATTATGTAATACAATACCAAATTTATATTATGCAACATACCATTAAAGAGGAACTATGGACACTAAAAAAGATATTCTTCTCATTATCAAGCACTGCTCACAAAAATGCTTTTCTTCTGTAGAATGCTTTATCATTTTCAGCATCTAGCACTCCTCTGAGCTCAATAAACGCCCTACATATTTTTGTATTGATATGAGCTGATGAATGTCAACTTATTGTGGTAAACATTTCACAAGATGTGTATGTTAAGTCATTATGCTGTAGATCTTAAATTGTTACTGTGCCGTATGTCAATTATAACTCAATAAAACTGAAGGAAAAAAAAAAACCTCTGCCCCATGAGGTAGGCATCTTAAGTATTTATTTTTCAGTGAGGTGTCAGTCACCAAGCCTTCCCCTTAATTCTGCCTCTGTTCATTTGTTAACATCATGCATCTCCCTTCCCAAACCAAGAGTGTATACAAATATTATTCCACCTATCCTCAAAAGATATTTAGGTGTATCTTTATTTCCAGATATTCAAGTTACAGAAACTAAACTGCTATTAACATGTTTTTCCAGGGGTGCCTGGGTGGCTCAGTTGGAAGAGTATGTAACTCTTATCTTGGGGTTGTGGGTTCGAGCCCTATGTGGGGTGTAGAGATTACTTAAATAAAAAAAAAAAAAAGATGCTTTCCCAAAATATTTTAGCAGAATCAGGAAGAAAACCAATTTGATTGAATTAACCAGCACCAAGATGATTTTATCCCTAATACAAAGGAAGTACTTCTTCCTATCTGACTCCTCGGGTCTGAGAAAGTGACCAGAGGTTCCACAGCATTTACCCGAAGTAAAAAAGGTCCTTGAGGGTCTCCAATCACAAGCGCATGGACCGGGAGAATGGGGCCCTGAGACACAGTCACCTGTAGCTCTACCTGCTCGAGGTGGGGTAGGAACTGTTGCCATCCCCTCAGGGCCCAGCTCCAGTACCATCAACAGCCCTTGCTTCAAAAGCAAAACAACTGAAAAGTACAATTCCGAAACGGTTAGCACCTGTCAGCCAAATGCAGAGTGTGGACTGTATCTGGATGCTGATTCAAACCAACCAACTGTAAAACAGCATTTATGACACAACCGAACATACAGCAATGACATTAAAGGACTGATTTTCATTATTTTAAGGTGATAATACTAATGTGATATATATATATATATATATCCACATATATGTATTTCTTTTTTTATAAAGATTTTTTTTTTTAAGATTTTATTTATTTATTTGACAGACAGCAAGAGAGGGAACACAAGCAGGGGGAGTGGGAGAGGGAGAAGCAGGCTTCCCGCAGAGCAGGGAGCCCGACACGGGGCTCGATCCCAGGACCCTGGGATCATGACCTGAGCCGAAGGCAGACGCTTAACGACCGAGCCACCCAGGCGCCCCTGTGTACTTAATTCTTATCTTCTAGAGCTATATACTGAGATCTGTATGGATGAAGTATATACATTCTGGGATTTGCTTAAGATTAATCCAGTGGAGAGTGTGATACGAGGATGGAGTGTAGACAAAGCAAGGTCATGGGTCCAGGGGTTCATTATACAGTCTGTGTGATTTGTATATCTTAGAAATTCTCCAAAATAAAACCTTAAACAAATGGTCAGCACTATCTAGCTTAGAGGTCTGTAAAAAGTGCCATGCATGTTTAAATCAGGGGTGGCAAAGTTTCTGTAAAGGGCTAGACAGAAAGTATTTTAGGCTTTATGGGCCATAATTTCTCTGCCAACATCCACCTCTGTCCTTATCACAGCAGGAGAGAATGCACAGGCGTGGCTGCGTTCCCATAAAACTGTACTGAAGGATACGGACATTTAAATTTCATGGTATAGTCATATGCCTGGAAATATTTTTCTTTTGATTGAAAACAACAACAACAAAACTTTTGGGCCACAGAAAGGGCTGGCAGGCAGGATTTGGCGTGGGGGCTCCAGTTTGGCCACCTGTGGCATAAAACCCAAACCTGACAAAATATACGTATTGACATATATTACAGATAAATACATCAAGTTTTCTTCCTGATTCTGCTAAATCATTTTGGAAATGATTTTGTGTGTGTGTATACACAAAATACTGCTAAGTCTCTCGCCGGCAGAATAATTATGGCTCCCTTAGAGTATCTGGCTTTTGCTTAAGTGCCCCGTCTAAAATTTCCTTAGTAAGTCTGCAGTAACAAACATTAGAAACTGGTTTTTTCCTTCAACAAATGTTCCCCGGGCGCAATTTTTACTGCCTATCCTGTTTTGCTGAGTCCCCCGGCCGTCCCGTCCGGTCCCTGGGGAGCCGCCTCCGGTTTCGTCCTCTCCGCTACGGGTCTGCAGACACCCCGCCCAACCCCGCGAGCCATGCTCCCTCACCGGGGCACCGAGCAGGTCGCAACCCGCGGGCCGCGCGCGCTCACCGGGCCACCGAGCAGGTCGCAACCCGCGGGCCGCGCGCGCTCACCGGGCCACCGAGCAGGTCGCAACCCGCGGGCCGCGCGCGCTCACCGGGCCACCGAGCAGGTCCCAACCCGCGGGCCGCGCGCGCTCACCCCGGACACCGAGCAGGTCGCAACCCGCGGGCCGCGCGCCTTACCCAGGCAGCCGAGCAGGTCGCAACCCGCGGGCCGCGCGCCTTACCCAGGCAGCCGAGCAGGTCCCAACCCGCGGGCCGCGCGCGCTCACCGGGCCACCGAGCAGTTCGCAACCCGCGGGCCGCGCGCGCTCACCGGGCCACCGAGCAGGTCGCAACCCGCGGGCCGCGCGCGCTCACCGGGCCACCGAGCAGGTCGCAACCCGCGGGCCGCGCGCGCTCACCGGGCCACCGAGCAGGTCCCAACCCGCGGGCCGCGCGCGCTCACCCGGACACCGAGCAGGTCGCAACCCGCGGGCCGCGCGCCTTACCCAGGCAGCCGAGCAGGTCGCAACCCGCGGGCCGCGCGCCTTACCCAGGCAGCCGAGCAGGTCGCAACCCGCGGGCCGCACGCGCTCACCGGGCCACCGAGCAGTTCGCAACCCGCGGGCCGCGCGCGCTCACCGGGCCACCGAGCAGGTCGCAACCCGCGGGCCGCGCGCGCTCACCCGGACACCGAGCAGGTCGCAACCCGCGGGCCGCGCGCCTTACCCAGGCAGCCGAGCAGGTCGCAACCCGCGGGCCGCGCGCCTTACCCAGGCAGCCGAGCAGGTCGCAACCCGCGGGCCGCGCGCGCTCACCGGGCCACCGAGCAGTTCGCAACCCGCGGGCCGCGCGCGCTCACCGGGCCACCGAGCAGGTCGCAACCCGCGGGCCGCGCGCGCTCACCCGGACACCGAGCAGGTCGCAACCCGCGGGCCGCGCGCCTTACCCAGGCAGCCGAGCAGGTCGCAACCCGCGGGCCGCGCGCCTTACCCAGGCAGCCGAGCAGGTCGCAGGCGGCGGCGGCGCGCAGGATGCGGACGGAGGCCGGGGCGCGTGCCGAGGCCGGCGGGGCTGTGGCGGGGGCGCCGGGGCCCGCGGGCCGGCGCCGGGGCAGCAGCTGCAGGAGGCCGAGCGCCAGGCTGCAGGCGCCGCTGCCCAGGCACAGCGCGTGGAACGCCCGCGGCTGGAAGCTCAGCACCAGTTGTGTGGCGGCGTCCCGCGTGGGGCAGCAGAAGGTCCCGAGGCGTGGGGAGGCCATGGGCCGTGCTCCGGGACGCGCGGCTCGGGTCTGCCCGGACCCCCCACCGGCCCCGCCTGAGTCAGGTGCTGCGCCGGCCGGGAGCGGGGGGATCATGTGCCCGGAGCCCGCTCCCCCCCATGCCCGCGCGTGCGGAGAAGGCGCCGGCCTCGGTGGGGGCTGTGAGCCCTCTGCAAACGCCACGAGGTCTCACGAGGGCGAGGCTGGGTCTGGAGGAGGAGGAGGAGGAGGGAGGAGGAGGAGGAGGAGGAGGAGGAGGAGGAGGAGGGAGGAGGAGGAGGAGGGAGGAGGAGGAGGAGGGAGGAGGAGGAGGAGGGAGGAGGAGGAGGAGGGAGGAGGGAGGAGGAGGAGGAGGAGGAGGGAGGAGGAGGAGGAGGAGGAGGAGGGAGGAGGAGGAGGAGGAGGAGGGAGGAGGAGGAGGAGGAGGAGGAGTGCGGGAAGGAGAAGCGCCCGAGGCCCGGCAGGTCAGCTTCCTCCACGTTCGCCCAGCCTTCTCCAAAACTGCCATCTGCCTTACCTGATCTGACCAGAAAAACATGCCTCATTTACCAGCTCTTCCCTATTTGGGACCCGACATCCCTCACTCTGATGCGCTACAGGCACCATAACAGGTGTTAAAACAGGGCTCTTTCACGCCCCCGCGCCCCCACGGAAACAATCCCGCAGAGGTAGGGGGGTTTCGCTGAGAATCAAATCTTAGACAAAGACGGGGCACTTCGCCTAACGAGACACGTGCACACGGACCTATTTTGCACCTTGCTATTCAGTGTTCCGTTTTTACTCGGCTTCAATATAGCTTTGGCATTCTGAATTAGCTTTCAAGAGTAATTATGGTTTTTTAAAAAGTTATTCAAGTTTATTCTGATTTCTTAACTGTTTTTGTGTGTTTCATTATGCATTGAAAATCAAGCTTTCTTCTACATGCATCAAAGTTTCAAAAATTATATCATCACCGGGTGCCTGGCTGGCTCAGTTGGTGGAGCATGGGGCTGTGGATCACCAATTGTGAGTTCCAGCCCCACGTTGGGTGTAGACATTACTTAAAAAAAAAAAAAAATTTTTTTTTTTAAATCACATAATCACTAATGACAACAGTAAACATACTGGTGAAGTTTAAAAACAAAGAAACTCTTCAAGGTTGAAAATAAAAAAGCCCCCCTCTAGGTTATAGCTTTACTAACCAAAGCTTTATTTAAAACAAACCCCCCAAACCCTATCACATTTATCATCTAATAAATTAACAGGCCCATTGGCAAAGCGCAAGCAGCCACCCTTCGATCTCTGCCCCCAATAAATGGGCCCCTCTCCAGGTTTTTTCCAATCAACCAAAGGCAAGGTGTCCCCACCGCCCCTCCATCCCCCCCACTTATGAAACACTTAAGTGCAAACACATGCCCTCCCACCCAGCTGCTCATCTACATTTCCACCCCACCAGCTTTGCAATTTTAAGTGAGGCAAAGTTTGGGCTCAGCTCCTAGGCCTTCTTCCTGGAAGCCCACAGGTCTGGGCTTCCTGTTGGAATTCATGTTAGGCAGGCAGGAGGCTGCACTGCCAGGTGGGAAGCAGAGCCTTTAACAAAGGGCTGCGGACACCAGCACTTCCAAAGGATCCAACCCGGCACGTCTATTAGCAGGGGCAGCTGCTCTGATAGAATTCTGGAACAGACCGACATTGTTGAAACCTTAACCGCTCTTGGGTATTAACACGCTTGCTTGTAAAAACAGCAGAGAACATCATAGGAGTAATCCCCACACATCCATTTGTCAGTCCCTTAGAAAGCATGAATCCTGCTGTCTGTTTTGGACCATGGATCTCCTCCTTCCTTTGCTCTTGGAAAGCAGAGATGGCTTCTGGAGGACAGTGTGCGGAATGTGCTTTAAAAGATAAAAATGACAACAGGGCATCTGTACGTTTGCCCTAATGCCCAGGGTTTGCATGGCTAATCCATATACAAGTGCTACCGCATTTTAGTCTCTGCTTTGCACCCAAGCTACACATAGCCCACGTCTCCGCTTCCCACGTGCAAACCTGAGGGCTCTGGATGATTCAGGTGCCAAGTAGTCAAGGCTGAGGCCCCCAGGGGGGTCGGTAATAAAAGGAGGGAAATTATTACAAATGAGGAATCCTAGGCCAGATCAGCTCAGAGGATTATGCTATGCTCACGTATGCTCAGAGCAAACGTGAGGAAGGATGGATAGGAAACTAAACTTTTTAACTGTCAGAAAGAACTTGAAATTAGTCTAAGAAATAAAACCGAGTGGATGGAACTAGAGGATATTATGCCAAGCGAAATAAGTCAATCAGAGAAAGACAATTATCATGATTTCACTCATATGTGGAATTCAAGAAACAGAACAGATGAACACAGGGGAAGGGAAGGAAAAAGAAAACAAGACGAAATCAGAGAGACAAATCATAAGAGACTGTTAACTCTAGGAAACAAGCTGTGGGTTGCTGGAGGGGAGATGGGTGGGGGGATGGGGTACCTGAGTGATGGAATGTGCACTGGGTGTTATGTGCAACTGATCAATCACTGCAGTCTACCTCTGAGACTTATAATACACTATACGTTAATTAATTGATTTTAAATAAAACTTTAAAAAATAAAACTGATAACTTTTCGTGCAAGAGTGCAACTACGATACGAAAAAGTAGATCAGTAAAGCACACGCACAGCAGGTGGAAACATCTGAAAGTATGTAGATGTGAGAAATGCCATGATACTACCAAGCCAGTCAGCTGAGCCCGAACAGGGAGAGATCTGTGTCGTAATCACCAGGGCCTATGATGCTCATTTGTGCACCCACTCTTCCTCCTTCGCTCCCAGTTTACCACCTGGACTCCACCTTGCATTTTCAGTCTGGGCCACCCAGGAAATGCTCAGCTGTCTTGACTTGCTTTTGCTCCATGACTCACAGCTTGCTTGCCATCACACTTGATCACATACACTAACAGCTGGAAGCAGCTCAGGGGCTTTCTCTTACAGACAACTTTCTCTTCCCAGTGAGTCCCCTGACACCCAGAGGTCTGAATGGAAAGGACCAAGTTTATGGGGAGAACCTCAGGTATGCCACAGAATGCAGTGGAGGGGGCAGTGGGGGGCAGGTGGATGGTCTCTTGAGATGTACGCATCGCAGCAGCGTGAGGAGAGTGTGATTCACAAAAACCTACTGTTTTCATAGCGCATTAGTGGGCAGGCTCTATGCTCTGCCTTTTACATTCATTGTCTTATTTAATATACAGAATGAGCCTTTCAGGTGGGTTTTACTGATACTTAAACTGCTGTGGACAGTATGTAAATCAATGGGCATGGCTGTGTTCCAATCAAACTTTATTTACAAAACTGGTGGAGACCTAGACATGTTGGCCCCTGTAGGTCTACCCACAGAGGCTCTGGCTTATCCAGCAGCTGCCCCACAATGCTGGGTGCCTAAACCTAAAATGCAGGAAAGCTAACACCTAGTGGGGCAGGCAAACAGGCCAATGAGGGATGGGAAGCAAGAAGTTGCTGGCAGAGAAAATTGGTCTTACTTCCTCCCTCCCTATGGAAGTTTCTGAGGAGAGGCTGCCTATGGCCCTGAGCAAACCAGCCGTGTTTCTTAGGAATTTACGGTCTATTAAAAAATGTACCATCTTTAATTTGCTCTTCCTCCTTCCCTGCTTTACTGCCCTTTTGTCCAGGGATCCCATGATGTTCTGCCGTAAAGCTTCAGTGCACAATTTGTCTTAAGCTCTGCTTTCTAAAGAACCCAGGCTAAGAATCTGCCCTCCTGAGAAAGGATGTCAGCTTCTGCAGCCACAGCCCTGCTTGGGGTCCATCTGATGACTACTAGCATCTTGGCCTTTCAATTCATTTCAATTCAACAGAAATTTACTGAGTACCGTGTGCAAACTGAACAGATAGAGAGGTTGTGTCCAATAAATATGGGAGTGTGGCGGCGCCTGGGTGGCTCAGTCGTTGAGCGTCTGCTTTCGGCTCGGGTCATGATCCCAGGGTCCTGGGATCGAGCCCCACATCGGGCTCCCTGCTCCACCGGAAGCCTGCTTCTCCCTCTCCCACTTCCCCTGCTTGTGTTCCCTCTCTCGCTGTCTCTCTCTGTTAAATAAATAAAATCTTAAAAAAAAAAAATATGGGAGTGTTACCAGGCCTTAATAAAGAAGAATACATAAAGGACAAAAGCACTGTCAATGCCAAATAAACTAATTAATCATAGATGTAAGTGGTGGAGGGTGGAAAGAGATAGGGATTGAGTATGGTTTAAAATGAAATTGTACTTAAAAAAAAAAAAAGACATTTAAAGGATATCAGACCTGAGAATAAAATTCATCAAGTTTAATGTGCCTCCTGTTGCAGATCTCATTGAAAAGCAGATTCCACAATCCTGATTCTGATTGTTGGGATGGCTGGGTGAGGCCCTGCATTTCATGAAACTGCATTTCTAGCAAGCTTCCAGAGATGTGGATGCTGCTGGTCAACGGCTCCTACTTTGAGTAGCAAGGTCCTAGAGCTTGTATCTCAACCTAAAAAAGAAAGGGAATAACCAGGCCACATTAAAATGTGGGAAGAACTTAGTTCAAAATAGCAGAAAAAAATGATCCACATCCAACTAAGCCAAAGAGCATTCTGAATGCAAATGACAAGTCAGGGATGGAAGCGCAGGGTTAGCAGTGATGAGCTACATCCTTCCTTCTAGTTCTGCAAGCCCCAGTGGGTGAGAAATGTTAGGGACTAACCTGGAACAGAAGTCAGGATGCTGGGGGGGAAGCAAATGGGAGAGAAGAAGATGGATAAGGACGGAGAGAGACAAAAGTGATTTTGTGTTGAGGAAGAGAGAATGGCCTGACAAGGTTCTCAGGTAGAAACTTAAAAGACTTTCACCCTGGTCTAGATAAAAGAGGCCAGGGCTCTGATGAACTCCGACCGAAGCTCAAGCTTGAAGCTCGTTTTGCATAGGTGAGAGGTTCAGTGCCTCAGATGGACCACCTATCAAATCACAAACGACCCCACCTCCTTA